AATGATCAAATTCATTTTCAAAAGGGTATGTATAAGGTCTACAAGTTTACTTTAGTAGAAAACAGCATAGAACAGAGAAGAAGATACACGAATTAGGGAAGAAGATACATGAATTAGGGAAGAAGAAGACTCAAGAGTTAACCTAGAGAGTATCACCTGCTATTCATCTTTTCCCATTTCATTTAATGCATAGCTATAAGTATATATAATAGAAAATAGAAACTCTGGATACATATCTCTCCCTAGCCGAATTAGTTAGGCTATGGTCGAGCTCCTCCTTTAGGGACCACCTGGGTTGATGATTGCTGAGAGTGGCATAGTGTTGCTAAGACCCTATTGCAAGCTGATGGGTCGTGGAACAACTGTCAGTCTGGTGCTAAGTTGCTGAAGTGTATGTTTGGAGAGAGCTTTGGTAAGAATGTTAGCAGTTTAATCATGCAAGTGAATGTAGTCGATCCGTAATCACAGATAAAATGATAATCGATCTCTATAAATTTTGTGCGTACGTGGAAAACAAGAATGTTTGCTAGAGATCGATGAGATGCTGTCACAATAAAGTGGTGTCGGTTGCTTCATGTCAATACTAAATTCTTGAATTAGCCTGCGAAGCCAGGTAATGCCTGTAGTTGCTGTAGCTAGTGTTCGATACTCCGCCTCAGTCGAAGAACGCGCCACTTGAATTAGCCTGCGAAGCCAGGTAATGCGTGTTCGATACTCCGCCTCAGTCGAAGAACGCGCCACTGTGGATTGTTTCTTAATTGTCCACGAGATTAATGTGTCACCAAGGAAAAGCACACACCTGTGGTTGATTTGGGGTATAGGTGGTCACCAGCCCAATCTGCATCCACATATGAGCGTAATTGGAGTCTCTTGGTCAAATATCCAAACCAAAGTGCCTTTCTAGTATCTTAGGAGATGTATGAGCATTTTGTAGTGGGTTTTTGTAGGAGAGTGCATATGTTTACATAACTAGTTGACAATATATGCGATATCCGGACTAGTTACCGTAAGGTATAGGAGGGAGCCTATCATTTGACGATAAAGGGTGGGGTTAGGAAAAGCTGTACCTAAGTCCAAAGAGGCCGAGTTGTCGACCGACATAGGTGTGTCGAGTGGCGAGCAGTCCTTCATTCCAGCATTAGAGAGAATTTGTACGTGTACCTCTGTTGATTGAGATGATATGAACTTGGTGATTTTTGAACTTGAATTCCAAGGAAGCATCCAATTGTTCCAAGATGTTTCAGTTGGAATGTAGCAGCCAAAGTTTCGGTTAAGGCCGAGATCGCACTAGGATCATTTCCTGTAATGAAAATATCTTCCACGTAGATGAGAACAAGCATTTGAATGTCATTTTGATAATATAGGAGTAGAGAAGGATCAAGTTTGTTGAATATAAACCCTGTTTGATGAAAGAAATTGGAGAAAGTAATAAACCACTGTCTTGGAGCTTATTTTAGGCCACATAGTGATTTTTGGACCAAACATACATGATTTGGAAATTGTGGATACTGGAATCCCGGAGTTTGTTTCATGTACTTTTTCTTATCAGGTTTTCCATCGAGAAACATATTTGAGATGTCAAATTCAAATATGGGCTAATTGTGATGTAGAGTGATCGTGATGCGAATATTTGGCAGTTTGGCAACCGGGCTAAAGGTTTCATAGTAATTTACTCCAAATTCTTGCTTGTGACCTAGGGCAACTAGACGGGCTTTATGTCGTATGACTTTACCACGTGAGTTCAATTTTGTTGTATATGTCCAGCAAGAACCAAGAATTGGTTGATTAGGAGGAGCTGGAACTAATGCCCATGTGCCTTGTCGCTTAAGTGTGGTTAGTTCTTCTGCCATTGCATTCCGCCAGTGAGGTAAATTGGATGCCTGGGTTAAGCATGTTGGATCAGGTATCTGTTGGATTTGGTGGAGAACATTTAATTTCTGGATTGGTTTCAGGTTCCCAGTTTTCATTCGAGTGAGCATGGGTTAGTAGGTGCTGGTCGGGTAGGTGATTGTGGTGTGGTAGACTCAGTAGAAGGATTAAGTGGTCCATTAGAGATGTTAGGAGGTGGAGGAGGTAGTGGGCAGGAATGTTCAACCGCAAGTTGCAAGAGTGTTGGGGGTTGTAGAAAGTATAGGATGGAAGGTGGGTGGGATTGGATGAATTATTTTGTTGGAGTGAGGATGAGGTTTGAAGAAAGGGAAACGTTTTTCATCAAACACCATGTGTCTTGATATTATGATTTTATTTGTAGTGGGATTATAGCATTTGTAACCCGTATTGTAGGGAATAGCCATGAAAAATGCATTGTAGTGATCGCATTTCAAATTTTTTTTTTGGTTCGAGATTTTCTCCATGGATAACAAGCACTTCCAAAAACACGAATATGACTATATGACGGTGGAGCTTGTTGTAGATGTTTCTATGGGGCTATTTAGTTTGTGGTTTTGGTAGGTATCCTGATTTATCAGGTGAATGGATGTTAAAAGACCATCTGTCCAGAATTTGTAAGGGGCGTGGGCTTGATGTAGAAGAGTATGAGTGTTCTCCGTAATGTGTCTATGTTTGCATTCCACCACCCCGTGTTGTTCGGATGTGTAGGGGCATGAATATTGATGAAGAAGGCCTTTGGTGGTGAGGAATTGATTTAGCTTGTAGTTGTTATATTTGCCACTCCCATCAAAACGAAGCATTTTTATGTTGGTATTAAATTGATTTTGGAAAGGAATAATGGAAGTTTGAGTTATCATTGGCGTTTGAGAGTTGGAGTGCATGAAAAATACCCAATTGAAGTAAGAGAAATCATCCACAAATGTAACATAATATGTATAGCCTTGATAAGAGGGGATTGGGGATAGACCCCATACATCACTATGTATAAGCTCTAATAATTTGTGATTTTGTCTATAGACGATACAAAGGACCATTTGTGAGTTTTGGTAATATTGCAAATGCTACAAAAAGTTGGCGGAGGGAATATGAAGTGAATGTTATTTAGATAGCATTTGTAGTTGATTGACATCTGAGGTGAAGTGTGTCATTGCTCTGGAGTCTAGGATCCTCTCTTTGGACATAGCCGTGAGGGCTTGAGGATGAACCGTGAGTTGGTATTCAAGATTTGTTCGACGCCAACATATGAATGCAGAATGCTCAGATTTGTTGCAGATTTGGCATATAATGGAACAGTTGGATTGTTTACCTCCACAGGATCCATTTGTATATCCTCCATGTTGGGTTATATTGGAGCCTCTACCTTTGCCTTGGAATTGAACTCGTCCCCAGGAAGCTGTGAGTGCTATTTGTGTTTGTTTGGATGCCTTGTGTTTGGCATTTTCAGTTTGGAGATTGACTTTGTCGCTGCATAGTAACGAATAGAGATCCTCAAGTTCTATGGGTTGAAGCATGGTATAGATAGATGTCTTGAATGCATTATAGGGTGGTGGAAGCCCATTTAGATTATAGAGAATAACATCCTTGTTATCTAGGTGAGTTCCGGCAGCATGAATCCGATCTACCAGATTTGGGATGGTTGAGAGGTATTGTTGTATTTTATTATCTTTCATAGTGATGTGATGCAATACATTCTTCAGCTGTATGACTTGTGGGCAATTTGTATTCTATATTCGCCTCTCCAAAGTACTCCATATTGCTGCGGTAGACTGTAAATGAAAGATATGGGTGAGCACAGTAGGACTAACGAGAGAGTAGAGAGGTGCTGTGAGATTTTGATCATGCAACTTCCATAGATAGAATTGTGGATTCTCCAGTGTTATCACTGTCACCTTGGAATTGGGGTGGGCAGATGCAACTTCCATCCAAAAATCCAGAAAACTCATTTGCCTAAAAGTTTTCAGTACTTATGCCTTCCAAATGTGATAAATGTCGGCAGTGAGTTGGTTTCGGGTGAGGTGTTTGAGATGAGAATTCAATAACTTTAGAGCAGGCGGAATGTTGATGGTAGGGGCATTGTGAAGAGGTGATTGGGAATCTGAGACTATAGATTCATTCATCTGTAGGGGAAGAAGAAGATTTACCCTAAATTGTTCCCAGGTGCACTGCTCTGATACTTGGAAAACAATATGGAATAGAGAAGAAGATACAGGAATTAGGGAAGAAGAATACTCAAGAGTTAACTTGGAGAGTATCACCTGCTATTCATCTTTTCTCATTTCATTGTATTACATAGCTGTAGGTATATATAATAGAAAACAGAAAGTTCCGGATACATATCTCTCCGTAACCGAATTAGTTAGGATATGGTCGAGCTCCTCCTTTGAGGACCACCTGGGTTGATGATTGCCGAGAGTGGCACAGTGCTGCTAACATTAGTATGTCTACATTAATATATTTTGTAACTATTTGATATGAAACTATAGCCAATCTCACGTGCCTTAACAACTTTGTTTAGCTAGAATTTTGAGATTAAATGGCCTAGTTTCTTGATGTTTGCAGTCATTTCCTATGCGCTAGATTAAAGCTTGGTATAATCGCAGGGCTGTTTTTGAAGTCAATTATATTTAGAAAGAAGAAAGAGCTAGAGCTTGAAGTAATCTGGAAAGTTATAAAGATTGCGGTTGCTTTCGTACAATGTGCATATGTGATATTGAGGCTAATTTTGCATAGATTAGGCTTCATTAAATAACTGAGCACAAAACAATAAAAGGCTGACTGCATGATTGGTAATGGCTGAAGTCATATGGTATTAGTTAAAATAAGGTGAAGCACTACATGTTAATGTAATATAGATTTTTTTTTTGTTTCAAGTAATGTAAATTAGAAATAAATAGCTTGTTTTGCACTCAATAAAAGTAATAAAAAATATATTACATTAAGCTACCACCAAATAGTTGAGCTTGCATTCACAGTGTCTTCTACTTTCAATCTTTTGTATCACACTAATCTGGATTCCATGTATGCAAAATTCAGATTCTCACAGTTGCTTTTGAATAATATACCTATGTTTTATTCTTCTAATTTCTATTTAAAATTCTCATCATGAATAGGATGAACTGGAGAAGCTCGGGAAAACTGAAAAAGTATCAGCAGCAGTACAAGAGTATGTGTACGACCTATCACTGCAACCTTCGCTATATTTTTCCTTTTTTTTTTATTAATAATCTGAATTAGTTTTGCTAGAGTTCTAATGTACACCAAAACATTGAACTTTTTTATTTTCAGATTGTTGCAGAAGATAGAAACTAACCCAGAGCCCCTTCTACCAATGTAGAATTGCAGACAAATTTTTCCTTTTCATTTCTTTAAGCTCTCATAGCTTTTTCTCGTTTGCTCAGTCTAGATTTCTCCTCTTGCAGAACGCATGGGCCTGTAAACCCATCCTGGGACAGGTGGTTTGAGGGGCCTCAAGACTCACGTCGCTGCAGATGCCCGATTCTCTGATCTTCTGACTTTTAAAGAGTTTTAAAAGGTGTTTCGGATCATTTCTTTTGATACTTTATTAAACAACGGTGGGTCTTTTCCTTTGTTTTTCTTTGTTATTATTATATTTTTAAAATTTTTTTTAATGTAAATATTATATTTCTAAATGAATACTGCATGTGGCGGAATCAGGCTGGAGCAAGGGTCTAATTTGAAAATTTATAAGGTGAGCTAAACACCCATAGTGTTATATGTAACGGCTAACGCATTACAAAGTAATTTAATGTATGACTATTCAGAATGTCTAATTCGATTGTCTCCTTTGATACAATTGCCTTATTTCCCTTTAATTGGGTCGTCTGTTATGCTTAATTTTGGTTTTTCCTTTTTAATAAAATTATGCTGTAAATTTAGAGCTCGTATAATCAATGCTTTTGAACCATGTATGTATTACGTGATAATACACAGAAATAAAGGCGAAATGCATGTGTATGTATATTTTCAGCCGGAAGATTTACCTACTTACCACTTGATTCTTATGCATTTTCATTGTGTAAGTGCTAGGGTGTCTTCTAAAAACGACGCGCTGCATGATCTGAATACAGTGAAAAGTGTGCAAGGGCCGCTACACCAGAACATGGGTGTAGTATCAAATTAGTAAGGTTCCTACATTATGGACGGATGTGGGTGAACAAGTTTGTCCATCAAACTAATATTAGGATAGAATCTTGAAATATAGGTACTCTCACTGATAAATTAATAGAAATAATTGATATTATGATTCATAGAAAGATAAACATCTTATATGTTCAAGAAACAAAATAGGTTGGAGAAAATGTTAAGGAGATTGATAACTTGGGTTTTAAACTTTGGTATTCAGGTAAGAGTCACACTAGAAATGGTGTAGGTGTAATTATAGATAAAGAGTTTGAAAGATAATGTTGTAAAAATTAATAGAATTGGAAATAGAATTATAGTTTTTAAAGTTATTGTTGATATTAAGATTTTTAATGATATAAGTGTTTATGCTCCACAAGTAGGTTTAGATATAGGTTTTAAAGATAAATTCTGCAATGACTTGGAAGATTTAATACAAATGATACCTTTTGAAGAAAGAATTTTTATTGGAGGAGATTTAGGGTGCGTTTGGGATAGCTTTTTTGCAGCGATGGCGTTTTCAAAACGCCATCACTTGTTTGGAAATACCATTCCCACAATATTTTGTAAAACTCCGTTATGATTTTATTGTTAGACGCGGATCGCGAGTAGGACCCCGTGATCTGTGTTTAATATTATCGAAAGTCGACTACTGCCCCTCCATTTCCACTGCCCTAATTTCACAACAAGCGGTGAGTTGATCCCGCACGTAGCAGCACTCCTTGGTCTCCATCTTCGGCAATCGTTCTCGCAGGTAACCTTTTTTTTTCCTCCTCGATCCTCTATCGCTCCTCTGATCCGGTTTGTTGAATTCTTAAAGTGTCTATAATCATCATCAAGATTTTTCTTAAGCAACTTATGTCATTTAAGATGTAATTAACTGTAGGGGTTTATCTTTATAGGAAACTAAAGAACCCGAGTAATATAAACCCTACTTAATCTTCAATATTAGGCAGAGGAACTTGTTGATCAATACATAAAATGTTTGTAGGCTAAACGAATGTCATGAAATCTTTTAGTTTATTCAATCGAGTCCACTGTCAAATAATGTGTCTATTCTTTAGGAAAGGTGCATTTGATTGTGGTGTTGTACTCAGTTATTTAAACTTTTAAAATATATGATATCTTATTAGTCTCCTATTTTCAAAAATTAAATAATATTTTTCAAATCAAAATTATATATATTAAATTAAGTTAAAATCATTCTAAAAAATATAGCAACCGACAATTTCTATTGACTCTGCTAGGGACTAGTTTCTCACTCCATTATGATCAGAAGGTTTTGTCTTTATACATCGGTAATGTGTCCATGTTTCTCATGGTCTGAATTACCATTCTTTTGTTGGCATGTTGCACTTATTTCTTGCTTGAGCAAGCACGATTAACTCTTGTTGGATTCTAGGACCATCTGTTTAGCCATCCTTAAATAGAGGAGTTCAGAAATCTCGAGTGTATTGTCTGGGGTTGAACCCCAATAGATATGTTGGGGAGCGAGATTCCCCTAACCAGGTGCATTGTGAAAACAGTCTGGACTTGGTCCTGAATTTCATTTTTCTCCGTGTCTCTCAGGTTCGTCATGATATTGGCAAGGTGAACCAAATCTTTACTCTAGTGCCTTCCGTTTAAATTTCAAAATTAAGCAATGTCCGTTAACACTATAACGTCAGCAAAAATATGAAAATTACGCTCCAAATTTTGAAAAATAAAGACAAGGTAAGACAAACTTAAAAAAAAAAATACAAAACAAAAATACACATAAATTACAATTTAAAATTAAAAAAAATGTCAAGTTCACAAGACAACCTTTGATTTTAGTATTTGTACTAGAAATATAAGGAATAGGTCGTTATTGATCGAAAATTTCCAAATAACAACCATGATTGCATCACCGAAGCTAATTTTCTTATTCACTGGAGGACTCAACCTTCCTCACGACAAAATTGCACTCCACGAAGGAGCAATGATCAAGTTTGGAGCTGGCTTCGATGAAGTTGAAGTCATAGTCAGGAAAGCGCCCTATGTTATGAAGACTGCACCACCGAAAGTAGCAGAACCTGCAATTGAGTATGACTTGAACTGAGAACATGAATTTCTCATAATTAGGAATTCTAAGATCAAGACCCCTGTTAATTTGTGCCCTCGTACCTATCAGAACTATCATTCCTGTGAAGAAGAGAGTTGTCAGCTCTACTGACACTAGATTTGATATTACCGCGCTGATGCATCTTTTGCCAAAAGGAAAGAGATTTTTACGAAGAAGATTCATCTGATGTATTTGCTCCTCTGCCATTAGTGTTTGAAGTTCGTTCCAATTCGAGGATCGTGACGTTGACTAGTTCGCAAAAGAGGAAGCGTAGCCACAATATTTTGAAGGTCATAAAAGCCAAGGCTACAAAGTTGAACCTGACCAAGGCAACTCCTCAGCTAGAAGAAACTAAAGTACCTGAAACTTCACCTCTCCTCAAAGGGAGCAGGTTTCATTCGTTGCCCGCTACTACTGGAGAAGAAAGCATCTTTAGAATTGCTGCTACATTACCGCCACTTCATGGTCATTATGACGAGAAGAAGAAACCCACACCTCTCACCCGAGTCCATTATATTTTTGAGAAGCTAGTCAAGACAGATTGTTGTTCTGTCACTGAGTTGTTGAATAGAATGGGATGCAGCGTATCACCATGAATGAAAACTAAGTTCTTAAAGTAGGATAAGCCCGTCAAACTGTTTTAGAGGTCGGTAGGAGCACCACCGTCTCGTATTCCCGCCATGCTTTGTTTGGGAGTCCGCACTGATGTCATTGCCACCGGCACACATACTTCTACTGTTGTCACGAGGCTCATAAAGCATAGATCAATCAAGTCTCACTGGATCCAAGGGTACCACCCACTGCTATTTATGAAAAACCCCTAGAGATGAATAATGGAAAAAGACCAGTCATTACCGTACCTTTTCCACAAACTACGGAGCACACTTCCTTTCAACACGTTGATGTCTCTACTAACACATCCCGTATCAAAACATCAACATCGAGAAAAAAAGTTTGGGTTCCTAGGGTCGCTCGACCAGTACTTCAGAACAAGTCAGGGGAACACTCCCTTGAAATGGATCATGAGTCTGATACTCTGGCCATCGCCGTCACAACTGCTTTAGAACCCATCACAGAAAAAAAAAGATCTTTAGGAAGGTTCGCCCAATCTCAATAGAGTTAAAGGGAAGATAGTCAATGTTAAGTTGGGAAAGCTTAAAGCTGAGATTACAGAGCTAGCGAAGGAACAAAAAATAGATGTCCATGATGAGGATTATGATATATCAGATTACATGGATGAGGAGTTTGTTGTGATCAACATTGTTGAGAAAAGATCCACATCATCTTCGTGTGATGCTCTACCAACGACTAAGGTGAATGCCACAGATGAGTAGCAAATCCAATAAAGGGACGGGCAAATCAGTCGTCTGGAAATGAAAGTTAAAGAAATGATGACTGTCATGATCACTATTCAAGGACAGTCACAGTCATAGCAGATAGAATTTTTGGAAGTAAACTAGCCAGAGATTGTGCATATCACTAAAGAAAGGAAAGAAATTCCTTTCGATAATAGAGATGAGCCGTTGAAGATAGTTTAGCCCAGAACATGTACCGAAAAAAGGACATCAAGCAGATGGTTGAACATAAGTAAGGGAAGCCTTAGCTCATTCAGAAGGAGGTGAATTGGTTTCAAGGGTAGGCCCTAACGGAGGAATTCAATGACATGTCGTATCCTAAGGGCTTCGTACCACCAACCTTTAAGACCTTTGAAGGGATAAGAAAGCCCGACAACACGTTACACACTTCCGGGCAAGCTGCGGCAACGCGAGGGGTAACAAGGCATTATTATTTCGCCAGTTTGTGATCAGCCTTTTAGGGATTGCATTTGATTGGTATGTAGAGCTGCTCAATGGATCGATCAAGACATTTTTCGAGTTGAAAAATTAGTTTGTAAAAAGGTTTGTCGGAGCTCAACATTATGTCACCATATGAGATCTTGTGGTAGAACGTTAGAAGTCCACGGAGACTTTGGTGGAGTACATTCTATGTTGCAGTAATTTCAGCATGGTGTGAGCCATAGTTAGAAGAACAACACGCGATTGAGATCCTACTTAAGAGTATCCACAATCCGGTGGCTTTCATGCTTAAGGGACTTACAATTAAGTCATTCGAAAAGCTACTCAGTAAGGTCAGTGGCCTACAAGAAAACGTTAAACACAATGAATTCCTAGGAAAGACTGAAAAATAAGGCCATTGAAGACATTTGAAAAGAGGTCGGAGATAGTGACAATGATCGACAAAGGCAAACAACCAATTCAGACTCTGGTTGAGCTGAATCAAATGTCTGACCAACCTAGTCAGTAGTTGTTTCGGTAGAAGCAATATAGAACATAAGGAAGACAGGTTTCATCAATGGCAGATCGATTGAACGGAATGTACTCCTTTAAGGATGAAGCAATAGCAAAAATGTTACAGAACTTGATCAAGAAGCCAGAGTTTAGATTGTCATGGCCAAAGAAATAGGGGGAAGTTGTAAGAAGGATCACCCCAACTATAGTTCGTACTACAGATTGCTTGGGCACACCATAGAGGGCTGCTTCAGATT